AATTTGGAACATGTAGGCCTAACCTTAACTTTCAAGATTAATAATACTGGTTTGTTCTGAATTTAAAAAAAAAATATTCCTATACCTGTGTCCTATGCCCTGCCTTCACTTCATATTCCTATACCTGTGTCCTATGCCCTGCCTTCACTTCATATTCCTATACCTGTGTCATATGCCCTGCCTTCACTTCATATTCCTATACCTGTGTCCTATGCCCTGCCTTCACTTCATATTCCTATACCTGTGTCCTATGCCCTGCCTTCACTTCATATTCCTATACCTGTGTCCTATGCCCTGCCTTCACTTCCTTTTGGATAAGGTTATATCAACCAAGTTAGGCTCAAGCCTCTTCTTTCAATAGATGAATCTCAGCCAAACGTGCAGACATAGAGATCATTATCTCACTTAAACAAATGGCTTTATCTTATGGCTCGTACGGAGATACTAATCTTCCATCGAGCACCTACCCAGGTGGCGAATAGAGGAAAGCCCACCAGATATGGAGGATACTAAGGAAATAAAATGCCTAAGGCGGACCAAAATCAGAACCTATTGCCTTGTAGAAAGTGGAGGGATCCACAAAGGCTAGGGAACCTTACCCAAAAACTAAGGCAGCTATCCAGAGAGCTGTAAGGGGCCACCCCCCAGACGGTTGTGCGCAGGGTTAACAACCCGGCCATGTAAAACATCAACGTTACGAAAACCAAGCAACAGAATAAAACCCGGACTGATACCAATGGAAATCGACCTATGCATGGATATGGACATGATTTGTGGATTGCGACTTGGAATGTACTAAGCCTGTTTAGAGCAAGAGCCTTAGCCAACGTTGTAAATCAGTTGGTCAAATATAAAATATCGATTGCTGCATTGCAAGAAATTTGATGCAAGAATTCAGACATCCTCAAAACCAAAGAATACACCATATTTTATAGTGGTAACAACACCAACACACTAGGAAAAGGATTTGCCGTGAAAAAAGAAGTGGTCAGTGCAGTCATAGGCTTCAAACCAGAAAACGAAAGATTGTGTTCTTTGCGTGTGCGAGAAAAAAATGTTCAATAAAACATTCCTAAATGTACATGCTCCAACCGAAGACACAGAAGATCAGGATAAAGAATCCTTTTTTGTGACACTGGAAAAGATCTACGAAGAGGCACCGCCACATGATATTAAAATAGTGATTGAAGACTTCAATGCCAAAATAGGAAAAGAAAAGGTGTTCATGCCAACTATTGGCAAGGAAAGTCTGCACGAAGAATCCAATGACAATGGGATCCGACTCGTAGACTTAGCGGTAGGAAAAAGGATGTCAGTTAGCAGCATCAAGTTTCAGCACAAAAATATACATAAAGCTACGTGAAACTCACCAGATGGAAACACTCGCAATCAAACCGATCATTTTTTTTTAGATCGAAGACATGGATCAGATATATTAGATGTGAGAAGCCTTAGAGGAGCAGATGCGGACTCGGACCATCTACTTGTGAGGGTGAAATATAGGCAGAAAATAACCTTAATTCACAATGGTTGTAATCAAAGAGAGAAACGATGGCGTTACCAAAAGCTGTCCAAAGACCCATTAACTACAAAAGCTTACCAGAATGAAGTAGAAGCACAATTAGAAGCATCGCAGGAGGAAGTAACAGGGAAAACAACATAAATGATCAGTGGGATAGGATAAAAAATGCCATCAAAAGATCAGCAGAAAAATTAGTGAGATTTCAGCAAGCCAACAATAGAGTAGGCTGCTTCGAAAATGAATGCAGAGAGACTATGGAAGAAAGAAACAAAGCACGAATGATCATGTTACAAAGGGAAACCAGAAAGACAACACAAACATACAAGGAAGCCAGAAGGAAAGCAACAAAAATGTATAAGAAGAAAGAGAGGGAAGGGGAAAAGATAATAATAAAGGAAATATAAGATTTATCAAGAGAGGGAAATATAAGAGAAATGTACATGAAGATAAAAGATGAAAAGAATAGATACCAAGCCAGACCACAAATGTGTGAGAGCCACAATGGAGAATTAATCACGAAAAATAGTAAAGTACTGGGAAGGTGGGCTGAATATTTTGAGGACATACTGAATGCAGACAATAGACAAGAAGAAGACCCTCAACCCCCACAGGGAGGACCAGACCTTTTTATACAATGCCCAACCTTTGAAGAAAAGGTAATTAACTATATGAAAAATCACAAAACCCCAGGACAAGTCTTAATCACAGCAGAACTGATTAAATATGGAGGAAAAGAACTGCACAATCAAATACATAAACTAATAACTAAAATTTGGCAAGAAGAGAAAATCCCGACAGAATGGGAAACAGCATTAATAGCCCCAATACAAAAAAAAGGCTCCAAACTTCAGTGCACAAACTACAGAGGAATCTCCCTATTAAATGTTACATACAAAATACTGACGAAACTTATGGCCAAAAGACTACAACCTTACACTGAAGAAATACTAGGTGATTACCAATGTGGATTCAGGCCTAACAGATCAACGACTGATCAGATTTTCACCATCAGATGCCTATTAGAGAAATGCTATGAATATAATATACCAGTACATCAACTCTATGTGGACTATAAAATAGCCTATGACAGAATCAATAGAAACTATCTATATGAGACTTTGCAGGAGTTTGGGATACCCAACAAACTGACAAGACTAATACATGTAACACTAAACAACTCAAAAAGCAAAATCTAGATTCAAGGAGATTATTCAAGGGAATTTCATATTAGACGAGGGCTAAGACAGGGAGACTCACTGTCTTGTATGCTCTTTAACCTAACATTAGACAAAGTTATAAGAAACATACACGTTGACACTCGAGGAACGATAACAGGAGGGAAACTCAAGACCCACAACAAACGGGCACACTCCAACCAACCACTTCAGTATCTTGCTTATGCTGATGACATAGCACTTCTAGGGAAAAGTATTAAAGACATATCAAAATCCTTTATTGAATTAGAAGACGCATCTCTACAAGCAGGGCTGGAAGTTAACAACCAAAAAACAAAATACATGACAATGATAAGAGAAAAACAAACAGATGAAGCAGTTAAAATTAGAAACCAGACTTTTGAAAAAGTAAATCAATTCAAATACCTAGGATCTTTGTTAAATGAAAGAAACGAATTACTAACAGAAATAAAATAGAGAATATCAGCCGGAAACAGGGCATACTTCAGTAGTCAGAAAATACTCAAAAGTAAAAACATTACAAGAAAAACAAAGAAAACTATTAATAAAACTGTGATCAGACCAGTTGTAACATATGCAAGTGAAACTTGGACCCTAACAAGAAAATGGCAGAAAAACTATAAAACACATGGGAGAGGAAAGTTCTCAGGAAAATATATGGGCCAACAAAGGATAAATATGGATGGAGAATACGAAACCGCCATGAATTATACAGTCTATATCAGGATCCCACGATAGTAGCAGAAATAAAAAGAGGCAGGCTACGCTGGGCAGGACACCTAGAGAGAATGCCAAATGACAGAGGAACGAAGACGGTGCATTACCAATACCCCAGAGGAAAAAGGCTCAAAGGCAGACCTAGGCTTAGGTGACTGGGTGACCAAAAGGTCTAAACTGAGCAAACCTCAATTTGGTGGTCTGGTGTTCAAGTCCAGCCAAAGGCCAGTCAAGCAAAAACATCACCCCGGGTGGATATGACACTCGTTAACCTTGGTTAAGGCACAAACAATGACAATTCCTGAAACCGAACCCATCCCTGTTCGTCATGACGTAGAGACTTGCCACTGGATATGGTGGGGACGATAGAGTGAGGTAGACGCCGCGCAATTCTTCTTCACTTTAAACAAAGTCATCCGCACAAGTCATCAGTCACCAGACGACTCGATGGTCCTCGTCGATCCTCGACGGACGAACAATGAAGGTGGATAGATAATGTAGAAAAAGATCTACAGCAGCTGAAAGTCCAAGCATGGAAAAGAAAGGCATTTGGGTGTGGGAGGAGGGATGGGGTGGGGTTAGGGATGCTCACGCGTGTGTGTGTGTGTTAGTAATCGAAGTAGACAATCCGCATCCTTCATTGTTCACCTATTGTTAATGAGATAACCATTAAAGGTAATCTTTTATTTTCAGTTCGATCAAAATCAATGCATTTCCATTTGCACAATTCATTTAGCCATGACATTTGTTTGTTTTTTTTAACTCGTTCAATATTACTAGCTTTTGCAAAAGGCAAGTATGTGTATGAGAAAGGTGAATTCCAAAACCTGCAGGTAATACTGAATGTAAATATGTTCCAACCAGCTACGATGAAGTCTATTTAATGATCTGTAAGCCAATTGGGGAAAGTATATATTTTCCAAAGACAAAACAGAGATTACCTTGTAGTTCATTTACCTACTTTTGTACTCGAGAATGTGATTGTTTTGTTTAAAACTAGCAGGTACTGGGTCTTAAATAGGTGCAAGCTTTTCACGTTTTTTTAAATGACATTTTGGTGATGACCTCCCAGTTAAATCTAGTGAGACGATAACCTAAGAGAAATATTAGTCCCAAAGTACTACTGACAATGAATTGCCTTGATACAAGCAGTCACCATTTTGTAAATATGAGAAGTATAAAAACTAGGCCAACTAAAAAAAAACGTGATCTTAGGTATACACATTCCTCCATGTAAATTTTACTAATTTATTTTTTTTTTGTTATGGGGGGGGGGGAGGGCGGTTATGGTGGATGGCGAATTTTTTCTGTGTAGTCTAAAAAAAAACGTGATCTTAGGTATACACATTCCTCCATGTAAATTTTACTAATTTATTTTTTTTTTTGTTATGGGGGGGGGGGGGGGCGGTTATGGTGGATGGCGAATTTTTTCTCTGTAGACTATTAACCTAAATTTAAGATACTACATTATGTGCATACGCAAACGTATTTGCTTAAAATTATAAAATTATATCATATGAACGACATCAATGCCAATAACGATTGTTATGTTGTTGTTTTTTTAAAATCCTTTTATTATCTGCTTTTCAGCGTACAACATGAAGGCGCGCGTAAGATCGTTCCAGCCATCCAAACCTGAAAAACAAAACTAACAAGAGGCTAACAACTAACAACAAATCGCTAAATATTTCTATCACATACAGCTGCTAAAATGCCTAATTAAGACTAATTGTATAATATTTACAATTCTTTTCACCCACCATTTTTCTTCCAGAGAATCCAACTTAGCCAATTATTGAACTCTATAAGTTTGTATAAAATTTTTCTACCCGCTAAGTGATGCAACATGATATAATATCTTTAAGGGGATAAAAGTGTTGATTGTTTTAAAATCTTTTTAAAGGAAGTAATGTTTTTTTTCCTTTCTTTCCTTGCAGGTAGAGTTCAACGGAAACGTGTCTGCTGACGTGTCATAGATGGACATCCCCGTAGTTTTCTTCACAACCTTTACAAGTGACTGCAGGTTTACCTAAAGGCAAAAGTGGTAACGTCTCTACCGCCCCCCCCCCCATGTCTTTAAGGGGACTTGCACCAAAGGGTCCAATAATTACAGCTATCTATAATATTAAGATGATTTGAACGTCAGTGTAACGACGCAGTTTACTTTTTGGTGACACCAGCAATGTCCGTAGTTTTCTTCCCAAACTTTACAAGTGACTGCAGGTTTACCTAAAGGCAAAAGTGGTAACGTCTCTACCGCCCCCCCCCCCCATGTCTTTAAGGGGACTTGCACCAAAGGGTCCAATAATTACAGCTATCTATAATATTAAGATGATTTGAACGTCAGTGTAACGACGCAGTTTACTTTTTGGTGACACCAGCAATGATGGGAACATAAAAAAAAAAATATCTGTACACTTGAATCCTCAACAAGATTACTGAAGTGCCATCGGCAACGTGAACCCCAGTGTTGTGACCAGCCAGAAGACAAGAAATACAACAAAAGACACGACATCAATGTGTTTTCCTATCCGTTTGTATTTGTTGATTCTCTGTGGAGCTTCCTGGGGACAAACGTCTCCATCTTTTGTTTTTTCGGGATGCACGTGATCGAGTTGTCCTGTGGATGCATTCAACGTTGAGGCGTTTTTGTTAAGCTCCCCCTTGTTGTCAATGTTTAGATGGTCCGTTGGAGAAACTGCTTGCTGAGTTGTGGCTACTTTAGTCAACGCACGTTCAGCTTTCTTGGAGAAAGAAGATTTTAAAAAATGGCGTGAGAGCTTTGAATATATCTTTTTAAAGGATTCGTTATCTAAATTGTACGCATTTTTGTTTTGCGATATAATCTTCCCAGTTAAAATCACAGTGCTTTAAGACTGTATTTACAATACGTTTTGATCAAGAATAAAGGGATTTCTCAGAAGTTTGTACATAATGAGTTATTAATTTATTGATGTTGGTTAAATTTTAGATAACATCGCTAATGTTAATAACTGTTGCTATCTGTTACATAATTAATTTTTTGTAAAAATTTAAATATACATTTCATTTCAATGCACTACTAGGGATAACCCTTTTAACTAGAAACTGTTTTGAATTCTGAAAGAACGTAAGCACATGGCAGTTATTTTAGAATAAAAATATTTTGAGCTTACTTCTTCCCTGTTGTGTAGAAGGACAAAGACGATACTGTCGATGACCGAGAGCATTGACATAGAAAGTAAGATGAAGAGGTAAATGGTGACGTTTGGAAGAGTTAAAGACGACCTGGGCAACAAGCCACTCACTATGCTCATGTAAACTGACAAAGCCAGCAGGACGGTGATCCCTGGGGATGTTTCAAATAGAACATCAAAAAATCTAAAGATGTCTTTAGAGGATTTATTATCAGAGCTGCATTACACACACACATACATTTAAATGCAAAAAATATTTTAGAGGTGATTTGCAAACGTATCTTGATATCTGTGATAATAATAAGAAGACAAATATGAGCTGTAAAAATGATGTGAGACCGTTCAATTTATTGGCAACATTGTAACATGGCATTCAATATTTAGGAGAGTTTTCCTTCCTACGTGTAAAAAAAATGCGATAAAATTACCATCCCTGGGGGCCTGATGTTAGTATTGCATTTTATATCACTGGAATGGATTGAAACGTCGTGGGATAACAAACAAGTATGATAGTGTGGTAGCAATTTAAGGCAGATCAATACCAGCAAATTAAGACAATTCAATCCTAGCAATTTAAGGCAGATCAATACCACCAAATTAAGACAATTCAATCCTAGCAAATTAAGGCAAATCAATACCACCAAATTAAGACAATTCAATCCTAGCAATTTAAGGCAGATCAATACCACCAAATTAAGACAATTCAATCCTAGCAATTTAAGGCAGATCAATACCACCAAATTAAGACAATTCAATCCTAGCAATTTAAGGCAGATCAATACCACCAAATTAAGACAATTCAATCCTAGCAGATTAAGGCAGATCAATACCACCAAATTAAGACAATTCAATCCTAGCAGATTAAGGCAGATCAATACCACCAAATTAAGACAATTCAATCCTAGCTAATTAAGGCAGATCAATACCACCAAATTAAAACAATTCAATCCTAGCGATTTAAGGCAGATCAATACCACCAAATTAAGACAATTCAATCCTAGCTAATTAAAGCAGATCAATACCACCAAATTAAGACAATTCAATCCTAGCAATTTAAGGCAGATCAATACCACCAAATTAAGACAAGTTAATCCTAGTAAATTAAAGCAGATCAAAGTAGCTAATTAAGACAAGTCAATCCTAGCAAATTAAGGCAGATGAATACCACCAAATTAAGACAATTCAATCCTAGCAATTCAAGACAGATCAATACCAGCAAATTAAGACAAGTCAATCCTAGAAAATAAAGGCAGATCAATACCAGCAAATTAAGACAAATCAATCCTACCAAATTAACACAGGTCAATCCTAGAAAATAACGACTGTTCAATTCTAGCAAATTAAGACAGGTCAAACCTTGTAAACTCAGGAAGGCAAATCCTTACTTAAAAAATATCAGTTCAGCTATTCGGAAAACAGTGGGTATTTTATAGTGTGATTTCAATTGACTAACAAAAATAAATTTAGTCCTTACCAGTTTATACACAGATATCGCATAATTTTAGATATGTAAAACAAAACATATTATAACAATTTTTTTTAATATTCCCATATAGAGATAATTAAATCAAGAGGAAAATTTGAACATTCAATGGATTATTTTAAAGGATCAATTTCACCTATTGTAATTATTTTAGGTGAACAATAATTAATTTCTCACCATAGGTGATTTTTTCTCCAGATTCCACCGGAATGATGAATACAAGGATGTTGAGGAATGAGAGAAACACCACAGGTAACACGATGGTGAGGAGGAGGAAACTGGGTCGTCTTCTGAGGTAAAATTTCAACTAGCAATACGGAGAAGATGATGAAAAAGCATTTCATAGTCTAAAATGTAGATCAAGTACTTGACATAGAAATTTTTGGAGATTTATGCTAAAGAAAAGTAGATTTAATTATCATTCTAACAACAACACACACATAAAAAGAAATATACAATTATTATTTGGTTTTTCTTTCTTCCATTACGTGTAGTCTTTATTAGCTTGACACACCAGAAAGACATGATCAGCCTAGATATATATATAATACTGTATATAAATCCAATAATCCTGTTTTACGTAGGTTAGTGTGTCGTTCAAAGAGGTGTGATCATGTTTTTTCTTTAAATCTTTGTAATGAGATCGTTAGATGAATCATGATCACAGAAAGGAATAAAAGAAATGACAAAATCTGTTACCGTTTTCATTCTCATTTCTCAGAAAACCATTGGGATCTTCAGATTTCAGAACTCTCCATCAGAGTTCCTGAAGTTTAAGAAAAAACCCATCATGAATGCCCCCAACGCGGAAATCCTGGAGTTCTAATGATGGTGCTTTGTAACCGGCATCAAAATAAAGGACTGCACATCAGAACTAGCATGGACTTAAAGTAGCCATATCGCAAGTTTATGACAACTCTAATATTTTCATAAAATAACTCTATGTTTGTTTGTTTTCTTTCGGAGAATCGTTTTGGTTTCATGTATCGATAGTGTCGTTAATTTTAAGCATCGATAATGCTCAATATTTCCGGCTTATGCAATAACAATAAACAAATCACGAGGAGAAACATTGGATATCGTCGGTGGAGATATACATTCTTCAGCCTTCTCACATGGACAGCTCAATATTACATTGCCCAGATCCAGAGGCCGAGCACCAATCAAATCTGCACTACAGTAAACCGACAGCAAAGAAAGCGTTTTGGGAGATGATCTTCACTTTGCTCACAATGCAGTTTTAAGCCTCGTGGAAGTGGAACAAAGTTGTCGACGACTACTATCATTCAGCACTCATCAAGATCATTGTGAAGATTTAAAGGTTCGTTTTGGACACCACAACGCCTCTATCGTATTTACTCGCATGATACGAAAACAGCCTAAATCGATAAGCCGACCATGTTGGTTTTTTTTAAAATTTCATTGATGACATTTTAATAGCTATATACGCCTGTCAGGGAACTCTTGGAAATTCTCATTCTGATACTCACATGTCTGCTTAAGAATGTATCATCTGGAAGACCACCCAAGTGCCTGATAAGATTTACACGATTAAAGTTCCTCGTCACATGATCAGAGAAACTTAAACATGCCAGGTGATCAGAAAATCATAATGGTGAAGCACCATGGCCGTGGATCAAGTCAAATATTCGTTCGTTCCAAGGAATTTCTTTTGATGTTATCAGAAATTCATACAGAGATTATTCTTGATCGCTGGGCAATTTCAATCCCGACAAATAAGTATCTGCTAGAAAAGGTTATCTGGAATGAAGATTGTGAAATCACTTTCCGGAACCTTAAAGAGTTCCTTACTGCCCAGCCAGCTTTATGCTTTCCGAATCAGTCTAAATCTTTCACTGTGCGAACTAGCGCCAGTTGCTTTGGCCTAGGCGCGGTATTGCTACATTCTGAAAATGAGGACACGCCAACTTTATGTCAATTGCGTACACAAATTTCTTTCTGGGAAAGAATCATCGTAGAATAGGCCTTTGTGATGAAATCAAGCTGGTTCTTAAATCTCAATATATATTTGAACTCCTCTTAGAACGCAAACATTAACTTCATTGGTCTTGTGCGAGAGTTGTCACCACACACGCACCAATCAAAGTCATTTCCCCACACTGTCAAGTTTAAAGACGAAGTTCGATCGTAAACATAGTATTAATTATTAATAGAAAAATTTTGCTACTAGGAAATTGACTTACTTCATATCGAACGCACATATTTATGATGGCCACATGTCTTCACAAACAAGCTCATTGAAAAAATGACACTGGGAACAAACATAAAACTCAAGACCTTTATCTCGTTTAGGTTTAAATGTTAAACTAAAAGCCTTTCAACACAACAGTCTAACATAACTTGAGAACAAAATTGCTGCACGTTCTACTAACCTCAATAGTTGATATACTCGACTTTCCACTTTTTAGAGTACCGATATTTAGCTCTGTGGCTTCTAAGTTCCACTCGCCATGTGCGGTGAAGTAAGTCAGGGACACATTAGGTCGCGTGGCGAAGAACTTCAGTTCGTCTTCGTTGTATTTCATTGCAAACAGCTGTTTGGTGGAATAAGAATTGGTTCGTTTCGTTTGGAATCCAGGTACAAAAAAATATTCTACATGACACAAATGTCCTTCATAAAAACTTATTGACTAGATCAAACCAAACCGAAATAATCGGTCGTCATTGTGTATATGTTTAGCTCCTAATAGTCTCATTCCCTTAAAAAAAAAATTAAAAAAATAGAAAAAAAAAATTTAAAATCTCCCATTTTCCAAAACAAATGCCTCTAACTCACCTCATCTACCACCTACACAATTTTTCCCTTTAACACGATCTTTCCCTTTTGCCCCCTACTGCCTAAACCCACATTGCAATAAAAGCCAATCGTCTATGAAATTGTGACCGCTGTGGCTCAACCTTTTAGTAGGAGAAAACAGTGGTCACCACCCGCTAACATTTTAATCAAGATAGTAAAGTGTATAAAATGCTCATATGACATGAGATAACCCAAAAATGTGTTTCAATTTATTTTTAAAGCCTTAGAAACAAGGAAAATAATTCAAATATCTCATTTCAGCTTTGGTTTTAACGTTTATTTTATCTTATGTTACCGAAATCTAAATAAACCTAGAGAGCTGCCTTTGCCTTGAACCGCTACAGGAATACGTCTAGCGTTGGCAGCATGCTGCAAACACTGGGCTGGTCATCCCTGGAGGAACGACGACAATTATCCAAGCTCTCCACGATGTACGAGATTAAAAATGGGCTGGTCCACTGCTCCAGCATCACAAAGAATCTCGCCCCTCTCCCCACTAGACAGTGACGATGCCATCGCAGGCAGTTTTGCCTTATAACAGGACTATCACAGTACATGAACAACTCATTCCTGATAAAGAATATCAGGGACCGGAACAAGCTTCCAATAGGAACAGTCGAGGCGACCAAACTTGACACATTTGCGTCTATTGCCCCAGGCCGTCCAAACACCAGTTCGTGATCCCTTCGCTGAGTAACCCCTTGCAACCAGTGAAATATCATCTTCAAAAAAACAGGAACAAAACATCGTGAATCCCCTTTATATCGAAGGAGCCAGAACGATCATTACATTGATTGTGGGCCCTTAATATTTAGAAGAAGAAGATCTGGGAATGGGCTGATAAGGTTCTCTTCCATGCGAGAAACAAACTGCAGCAATCTTTCATCTTTATGCACACACAAAACAGACAAACATAGACACAAATTGATGTATATGCATTAAAATTTTATATTAGATGTTAAAGGCGTCTCCTTTACTTTCATCATCTTTTCTGGTGAATGAACTTCAGCTGACCCCAAGTTCGGCAACACTATAAGGGTGTTGCTAACTAAAAATAGTCTCCTTTGACCTCGATAACAACTAACTAAAATCTATGGTCTGTATTGCCATTCGAATTTTGTAGATTTATGTAGACATATCGAGAAAGGAATACAATGCGTAGTCCGTTCGAGAAGTATACTAACCCTGACTGATTCCCATCCTCTGACTGATAAACGATCTTGCTGGCTGCCGTCCATGGTTTGCCTTGTAACATTTATGGGGTGGGGTGGGTCAATATCCATTGCTGTTCTTTATTTCATAAATTATTTTATTTAAATGTCATGATTATGTCTCTTTTGATAAAATTTTTATGTACAGCGCGGTGAGCCCAGCCCTAGGCTGGGGTACCGCGCTATATAAGACCTCTTATTATTATTATTATCTATGAAACAGGCTAAATAAACGCCTAGAGAGATTGTGAGGAAGATCAGACGAGAAATATTTTGAGCGTATGCTATTTTTGCTTTGCTACGAGTCAGACATTTGTTTATTGTGTGTGTGTAGATTCCTTAACACCCCTTTACCCTTTTAAAAACATTATATCGTCTTCAAAATTATACCTGTACAATCCAATCATTTTTCTGTAAGTCAATAGTTTTTGCTTTATTTATTTTTGATTTTGTAAATAATAATTAGCATAATAAAATGTGTTAAGTGTAATTAGCCCTGGTTTGAGTATCGTATTCCTTGCTATTGTATTTAACATATGAAATCGTATTTTGCAATCTACAGTTTTAGAACGAGCCTTACACTTGAATAAGAGATTAATTTCTCCGTACTGAATACAGTAGGCAACATTAGGTCTGCCGCGAAAACAAATTCTGTGGTTTAGGGTGCCCAACTGGGCGAATGAAGAAAACAGTTGAGCTAAATTTAAAATCAAGTAGATATTTGTTTGTACCAACCTTAACTTCACACGTCTGCGTATCAAATGGATAATGGGTCAGATGAAGCTGACACGAGGAGGAGAAGAGACTGCCCGCTGTCCAGTACGTTTCACCATTGCTGAACACAGACACGGGACTGTTGAAAAAAAACTACATTAAAATTTCAAAACAGCTTTTTTTTTTTTTCTTGACACCATATTACAGTTATCCTTAAACTCTAGCATTGAAGTCCACGAGTAAGGTAACTAGAAGTAAGAGTAATAAAACAACACAGAGAAAATTAGTTATTTGTTTAAAGGATTATACAACCGTGCAACGACTACATTTTAATTCATTCATGTTAATGCAATAACAAATGAAATCTCAATACTGATGTATCTCTTATGTCTATATTTTGCTTTTGGTTTGGCCTGCTTCCTCTTCAAAACCACCCCCCCCCCCCCCCAGCTCCACAGGTTCTCTTTCATTGCACCCAAACAATGGAATTCTCTTCCATTACACATCCGCAATATACCGATCAACACAGCCTCCAAAAGTGCACTCAAAACAAATCTTTCCCCCTCTGACTGAAAAACGATGCTGCTGGGTGTCGCCCATGGCTTGACATGTTAATAGTTTTAAATATACATTTGTTTTTTTTTTAATTTAATTAATGTATGTTAATTAATTTTCTTCAGTTCGTGATTATGTTTGTTACATTGTATGTACAGCGTGGTGAGTCCAGTCCCAGGCTTGAGTACCACACCATACAAAACCACGTAATTTTAATAACAGTAAACGCCCCAAGGTAGGGTGAAGAATGTCTGTAGGACTATTCTATAGGCCGGAAGGTATGGTGAAGACTGTTTGTAGGTCTGTTATTTAAGGGCCGGCAGGCAGGGTTAAGAATGTCTGTAGGACTATTATTTAAAGGCCGGCAGGCAGGGTGAAGAATGTCTGTAGGACTATTGTTTAAAGGCCGGCAGGCAGGGTGAAGAATGTTTGTAGGACTATTGTTTAAAGGCCGGCAGGCAGGGTGAAGAATGTCTGTAGGACTATTGTTTAAAGGCCGGAAGGTATGCTGAAGAATGTTTGTAGGACTATTGTTTAAAGGCCGGCAGGCAGGGTGAAGACTGTTTGTAGGACTATTGTTTAAAGGCCGGCAGGCAGGGTGAAGAATGTCTGTAGGACTATTGTTTAAAGGCCGGAAGGCAGGGTGAAGAATGTCGTAGGACTATTGTTTAAAGGCCGGAAGGTATGGTGAAGAATGTCTGTAGGACTATTGTTTAAAGGCCGGAAGTAGGGTGCAGAATGTCTGTAGGACTATTATTTAAAGGCCGGCAGGCAGGGTGAAGAATGTCTGTAGTACCATTGTTTAAAGGCCGGAAGGTATGCTGAAGAATGTCTGTAGGACTATTGTTTAAAGGCCGGAAGTAGGGTGAAGAATGTCTGTAGGACTATTATTTAAAGGCCGGAAGGCAGGGTGAAGAATGTCTGTAGGACTATTGTTTAAAGGCCGGAAGATATGGTGAAGAATGTCTGTAGGACTATTGTTTAAAGGCCGGCAGGAGGGTGAAGAATGTCTGTAGGACTATTGTTTAAAGGCCGGAAGGTATGGTGAAGAATGTCTGTAGGACCATTGTTTAAAGGCCGGAATTAGGGTGAAGAATGTCTGTAGGACTATTGTTTAAAGGCCGGCAGGCAGGGTGACGAATGTCTGTAGGACTATTGTTTAAAGGCCGGAAGGTATGGTGAAGAATGTCTATAGGACTATTGTTTAAAGGCCGGCAGGTAGGGTGAAGAATGTCTGTAGGACTATTGTTTAAAGGCCGGAAGGTATGGTGAAGAATGTCTGTAGGACTATTGTTTAAAGGCCGGAAGCAGGGTGAAGAATGTCTGTAGGACTATTATTTAAATGCCGGCAGGCAGGGTGAAGAATTTCTGTAGGACTATTGTTTAAAGGCCGGCAGGAGGGTGAAGAATGTCTGTAGGACTATTGTTTAAAGGCCGGCAGGAGGGTTAAGAATGTCTGTAGGACTATTATTTAAAGGCCGGCAGGAGGGTGAAGAATGTCTGTAGGACTATTGTTTAAAGGCCGGCAGGAGGGTGAAGAATGTCTGTAGGACTATTGTTTAAAGGCCTGCAGGCACGGTGAAGAATGTTTGTAGGACTATTATTTAAAGGCCGGCAGGCAGGGTGAAGAATGTTTTTAGGACTACTGTTTAAAGGCCGGAAGTAGTGTGTAGGATTGTCTGTAGGACTAGTTTTAAAATGACGGCATATCTTTTATAAATTGAGAGGATAACTCGTTTTTGTATCACTTGGACTAGATGATAAAAAAATGCATCCTAGTTTTTGATATTTCAAAGTTCTACTCTTAAATACGTAAATGAAATAATATTTTAACAGAATAAGTTTGATTCTTCGAAAACATTATGCTATCTTAATGATCTTGTGATATCTTCCTTCTTAAGATATTTAAAAAAATAAAAAGTGAAATATAAAATAAATTGATAAAACTATTCAAATCCAACTTACGCCTTGTCGTCATTAAAGGGATCTATTGCTCCCAAGGTATTCATGAGGATAAGGCGAGGTCTCCAGATTTGTTCAGGCAAAGGATTGATGAGGAATTGTCCACCGTACTTAGCTGGGTCCCAGGCAATGACCTGTGTTAGCATAGCATATAACCGAGATCATTTCCTTTCTATAATAAATTTAATGTGAAAATATGTCTATTTAAATATAGTTGTCATTTATTTTATAATATGGTGTAATTTTGGTTAGCCTGGACAATATATTTATGAAGAATCAACTTTTTCTCATGCAGCAAAGTGATGCAACGTTTCCACCACTGCCTGGTGCTGCCTGACTTGTAGCGCTCAGTGAAGTACTCACAGTCTAAATTGAAAATTCTGGCAGTTACCCGCGAAGACTGAAAGACCCCTACCACCCAAGAGTTGTACAGTGGGATGTCTGTGGTATCAGACAAAAGGAGTGGAAAGTACCATGGTGCTCAACGTAGCACTTTTCCAAGAAACTCTGCTTAAAAGGAAGTTTTTCAATGTGCTCAGCTGTCTAAACGATCTCCCTATAGAGATTGTCGATGAAAAGTCTTAGAACATCACTGACTCCCTCAGAATAAGAGCTTTAAAAAAAAAGAATTAACAAAATTTTATTATTATTAATATCTATAACAAACCCAGTAAGTCTATAGGAAAAAATGCTGTCTTAAAAAAAAACAACACAATAGCCGGTGATTTCAATGCTGAATCACCCGATTGGAGCTACCCTTAACGCAATGCGTTATGACGTTACGTGGAGGTTTATCTTTCTACCAACCTTATCCGGCTACAAGACGAGAACAGTTAGACTACACTGCCCCACATGGGACATAGTACGGGACCTTGGCCAGATCTGATGCTAATCTTAATCTGGTGGGTAGCGACAAGGTAACAATACTCCTTAGAATGTAGCTAGGTACCACAGTGACCCGCTTCCAGAAAATGCATTGGCAGTTTCATGAAAGCGAATAGACAAAAGTAACAAACCGTAACCAAAAGCTAAATTATATAAATTTAGAGGATGACATCTTCGTTGGCAAGATTACCGTTGTCGTAAAAGATAAATGGAAGACAAACCTTTAGAACCGTAATGGTAAAAAAAAAAAAATGTGAAAGCGTTGGTTGGAAGAAACGGCAAAAAGCATGTAAGAAAGAGATCAAAAAGAAAACACCAACAACTCAGAGGGACGTCTGATCGATTGAAAACCCAAGTCCACAAGAAAAGCTCAAGATGAAACTGTCCAAGTGGGTTAGTGTCTGTAAGAAAATTAAACCTTTCGGACGGTCTGGCAATTGCTTGACAATGTCTCTGGCATGGGTAATCTAAAAATGTGTTGTTTTTTTATGACCTAATTTAAATTTCGACTGGCGTAAAAGCGTTGACTTGAGTTGTATTTTTTTTTAAAGTGAGGCAGAGGTTCTCCATTCGTCAGCATCATACTCTCGTTCTTGCCTATTTCATCCGATGGCAAGACTCTTTCAAAATGACATAAAATAGGCCAGGATGCAGTTGATGAGCAGCAGTGCGCCTTGTGTCTTCTCTGGGTTTTATTTCAGATTTTGCCTTCTCTTAGATGAGTTGCTATTCGAAGTAAAGGAGCCCAGTTCAACCGGGACAAGAGTTATATTTATGTCTAGGCGTTTTCTGAGGAATGTACTCAAGTCCACTGGTTTGAGTTTGACACAGAGTCTTGACAGATCGGCCACCTAGCCAAAAAATGTACACTGATTGGAAACACCACACGGCACAGAGATTGGCTGTACCAAGAGCGCAATTGCGCTAAATAAATATTTTACTGAGGCAAGCAAAAAAAAGTTACACCAAAGACAGGTGGACCATCAGGCACTCGCTCAAGGCAGGAGCAAGTGCCCACAGCGTGGGCCTCGACTTCAGGTTTTCACTGCCCCATTTCAATGGCCGAATCGCATACGGCTCTAGGTAATTGCAAACAGGAAAACCAACAGGACCTTATAGGGTCTCCAACGAGATGCTCAGTCATGAGCAAAGCGAGACATGCTCTTTAAGACGTTATCAACAAAATTTGGACGCCAGGCATCCGGTCAAAAGCGTGGAAACAGGCAACAATTGTCGCAAATCCCAAAGATGAAAAACCAAGTGAACTAACGACGAGCTAGCCATCGATTTTCCTCAGTTTCTGTGAATTAAAAATGTGGAAACGATAGCAGAAGCGAAGTTGTATTGGTTCTTGGCACGAACCAAGGCATTCCGATACACCAAGGTGGCTTCCAAAGTGGGGTAGCAACAGGTAGACCAACTATTACAGTTCATACAAAATACCACCAAAGTACTACACATGAAAACCATACTGTTGCAGTATTTTGGACCATAGCATAGCGTTATATCGGGCCCAAAAAGAGAGTGTGATTTTTCATGCAGTAGATCCCCTACTCTTAAACATAGTTGGTTTAGTCCAGAAATTGTCAAATAAATATTACAGTATGGATGGCTTTAACAGGCATGAGGCGATGTTATAGTTTTCATGTTATAGTTCGCTGTCTTTTTTATGGACTGCAGTTTTTCAAAACGCATTTTGTTTCACTTATGTTTCACAAGGTCTTCTTTGAACTGCTCACTTGACATGAATTGTTTATGCTTGATTTATACTTGTGTATACATGTGTGACAATCGTGTGTGTGACGTGTGTAACAATCGTTCATATGACATGTGTAACAATTGATGATGTTTGTTAAATTGTATGTACAGCACGGTCAGCCCAGCTCTAGGCTGGGGTACCATGCTATTTAAACCACTTATAATAATAATAACATGACATTTGTAACAACCGTTTAAATGACGTTTGTAATAATCGTATATATGACATGTGTAGCAATCGTGTATATGACATGTGCAACAATCGTGTAAATGACATGTGTTGCAATTTTTGTAAATGGCACGAATATAGAAGGTTGAATTTTGCTGAGTTATACTTTATCTGGTCGCCTATAAATAATATACATATTTTTTTCGTCAACGTATGGAGCAACCAATTTAAAATGTATGTATTGAATCTATTAACTAAAATCAAGTTGATTGAAAAATATGTTTTTCCGTCTATACCATTAATTGAAAATAAAAGGAATCAATTCGTACCTCATCTTTCCAGCCTGTGACAAGGAAACCAATGACGGTAAAACTCTGAGCTACGTCATTGATCTCAACGATAGACAAAAGTTCAAAATGAGCTACCACTCCAATGACCTTTGACTGGTTAAGCAGCGGTCTTATCTCTGTGTGGTAGGTCGAAGAGGCTAACTTATCCTTGAAAATTGAATGGGTTTGAGAGTAGCTTTGACATTGACTAGGAGAATTCAATCCAAATACTAGGCTTACTGTTAAAACCCAGGTGGAAAGTTTCACCGATGCCATGCTTATTTACTTGTCTCTGGAAGAGAGATGTGGTTTGTATTAAAGGGTGGTTAAAATCATGCGTGGCATCACACAAGATAACGTAATTTGTACTGAAGATTTTTGAGAGATACGTCAGTTTTAAAATTTACTAATGCTTTGGTTGCATATTGTCAGAGTCACATCATGAGTATTTAAAAAAAAAAAAAAAGGATTTTCGGGTAACTTTTCAACCTGGCATGTTATGAGCCTAAAATTAAGCTAAGATAGATAATATGCCCCTATTGCTTTGAACAAAAATGAAAATTTGCTTTGATTACATTGCACGTATTGATTATTGATCTCGGTCTTCACACTTTCTGAGTGTTTGTTGTTCCCCCAAAATGTGTCTGTATCTAGTCATTCACTTTTTCTGCGATTGGATATTTAAAACTTTTATTTTAAAATGTATAAGACATTTGTATTCACCGCAGTAAATGTAGTCATAGTATTAATGTGCAATTAATCGAAACAATTCAATAACCATAATAGTGCGTTTTCGTTTTCAAGTTGTGGTACTGTTTTCCTTTAGGTCGCGTTTATCCTTCGTGTAATCCTGTTTTATTAATTAAACCATCAAGTTTATGCGAACTTGATAAAAATAATAAGAGCTTTTATATGATTTAGAACCAGCGAACATTCCATACGCGATTGAAATCATGACGATCATCCATCAGCATCTTCCTAGCACAGCGTGTATCACTTTGAATGTTTGGAATTAATTCTATAAAAAAGGCAATGATTGGGTCGGCGTAAAGTTTCAGAGTTATTCCTGCAGGTGAGTGCCCTGTAAACGTATTCAGAATGAATACTAAAGTGTATCTCAACACAGTACAGTACATCACAGTACAGTACAGTACATCACAGTACAGTACAGTACATCACAGTACAGTACAGTACATCACAGTACAGTACAGTACATCACAGTACAGTACAGTACATCACAGTACAGTACAGTACATCACAGTACAGTACAGTACATCACAGTACAGTACAGTACATCACAGTACAGTACAGTACATCACAGTACAGTACAGTACATCACAGTACAGTATACAAACTCCAGGAGACAAAACATGAATGCGGTGAATAGACTTTGTAGATGAAACTGTAGATTATTACAAGCCAAAGGAATTTATCAGAAAACAAAATAAGTATGTCGAACATTTGCACGCCACGAACAGTCCTTAATTAGACATAACTCATAAATTAGTGATACGTTAATATAATTCTTTCCAATGTTTTATAAGAAACATTTCGGTCTGGACGACACATTAATAAATGAACTATGAAGATTAAAAGGTTGTAACGCTGAAAGAAACACTCACACATGGAACAGCTTCCAGCGCTCCCAAAACACAGGAACGAACGGCCTGACAAGTGACCACTGAGATGCAACCCGGGTACCTGGGCTAAGTCTATTTTTAAATCGACCCTGGCAGCACAACGCAAAGACTATCTCGAACGGGGTTTTTCCAAGTAGCGCTCGCGGGGGGGGGGGGGGGGGTGGGCTATACCCGGGGGGAAGGAGAGAACCCCCCCCCCCCCCCCCCCCCCCCCCCCCCTGGGGGGGGGGTCGGGGGGGGGGGGGGGGGGGGGGGGGGGGGGGGGGGTTAGGCTATACCCGGGGGAAAGTGAAGTACCCCTCCCCCTCCCCCTCCCCCCCTCCCCGGATGAGAAATGGGTAAAAACAATATAACGATTTTATATTTTTAAAATTAAAACGTCATTTTTAAAGAGTTTGAAAATGAAAAGAAACTGGTGCTTTATGTGATTACAACTAGTGGCAAGTATTAAATATCGCTAGGCATTATATACTTTACGATCCGTTTATTTAAGGCTAATCTTGTTTAAAGCTTATAGTATTCGATTCAGAATATCGTACTCACCGCTTCTGATTATAAGCCGAAGATTTACTTCCCGTTGTTCGCACTTATTCGCGTTTCTTTTTTCTCTTGCAAATTCACAAATTTTAAAACTGTAATAACACTGCATTAAAATACCTTTACATCAGAATCAAGGACGGACATTCTAATAATATGTCTTGCCATCAAAAATACGCAGTCTATGTTCTAGTTATATGTCACTATAAAATGCTTTACTTTTAAGGTAAGTCTAGGTGTTGATTATAAATAATATGATGATATAAGCCTTTAATTTTTTTTTATTGGCATAAGTTTATATATATGTAAGCTATTCCATGAATGTTGAGTTATATCAAATGGAAACTTAAAACACAGAGAGACATCTTTTTTGAAAAATTAAGAATTTAACGGGCACACACAAATAGTGCAAATTTCATAAATTATTATATTGAAAGAGCTAGTGTTTTTTTTTTTAAATGTGCTATGTTTGTAACAAAGTTTCCTGAAAAATCAGGGGTTTAAAGAAATATCAAGCCAATGTTTATTAATGGCCCGCCAGCATTTATCTTTTAAATATTAAAATAATAAACAAACTGACACATCTGTTTCCAAGGATTGTTTTTAAAAATAATATTTTGCCCAAGTTTAAATCTATCAGAAAGCTAAATTAAAGAAAATGGACTAGCATTTCTATTTTCATTCCAATTCCATATTTGTTTACTTGTTTTAGAATAAATTCTTATTCACAATTTTTCAATTTAAAATAAATTCTTTATATTTTGTGGTACATTTTTAAAAAAGTATATCTAAGTGGCAATGTTCAGTTTATCGGGGAAAAAAAATATAGTTAGTATATAATGAAAAAAAAAAATCAATCAAATGAATATTGGGAAATTTCTACTATTTTGTAAAGAACCCATGTGTTCTTTACATAATAATACTATTTATATACGATTTCTAAAAAATTTCCAGTTTATATAACCCATTAAATTCATAGATCTTTCTACTTAAAAGTTGTTTGACTATTGTAAAACTTGGAAATATGTATTCAAGTTAATTAATTATTATACGTAATTTGATTATTAACACAGACAATTTAGTATTTGTGTTTAGCAAATAAAATGATGTCAGCAATCATTTTTTGTGATGGAATTTGTTTTTTTTATCAAGTCCATTTATTAACTATGTAGACAACCCTCAAAGAGGTTTGAATTTATTTATTTTTTTTAATGAAAGCCACGGACTATTAAATAATATATATATAAAAAAAAATTTCATAACAAAGCCAGGACAAGTAGAGTTGTCGCTCGATTTTTTAGAGGTCCCTTCTGCTACTTTTTGGTTTTGTCCTCCCCCACGTTGCATTGAAGGATGATTAATAAGGCAATATCCACAACACATTTTAAAGCCCTAAACTATCCAAGGCCCACTGCAGTCGCAGGGATTGCTGAGCTCGTTCGATGTTTCTAAGGTTAAGTGAAACCTTAAGTTTTTAAACTAGCATTTCTTCCGTGGCTCTCCAAGCGTAGAATGTCGCAAAACTTAATTTGAAGTACTTGCTCAAATGTAGTACTTTATTTTTAATTTATCAATCATTTACTGGGGACTATAAAGATGGAATAGACGATATTAAGCTAGAGAAATTGCTTAGACGAAAGGACACCTCAATTGCAATGTAATTAGTTTATTTTCAGATGAAGCAATTAAGAGATATTCCTAATTATGGCTAATTTTAGCGCTTCGCGAAGAAAAACCTAAAATTGCTCCTCAAAATTGCATGAAAGAAATACCATATTCAAATATACGCCAAAATGCACCCCTGTATTTTTAAAATGTACTACTGCCTTCAGCACCCTCAAATTCTTCACCCCTTCCCCCCAAGCTGATCAATGTTACAGTATTATGTTGAATATAAGCTTGTGCGAGATGAGTGAATTCAGTTCATGTCTGGAACTGAATGTCATAATATCCCCCTCTGTCCATTGAAAAATTTCTTTCCCAGATGCTACAGTGTAAGAGAGACACTGAATTCATTTATACTCCAAAATGCACGTTTTGATTTAGAAAAAATGCAAAATTTGCTGGGGAGGGCTCCGTAGCCCCTCCCCTTTTACTCAAGAGCCAACACTACCCTCAATGTTGGCCCTACACTACCCTTAATGTTGGCCCTACACTACCTCAATGTTGGCCCTACACTACCCTTAACGTTGGCCCTACACTCAATGTTGGCCCTACACTCAATGTTGGCCCTACACTCAATGTTGGCCCTACACTCAATGTTGGCCCTACACTACCCTTAATGTTGGCCCTACACTCAATGTTGGCCCTACACTACCCTTAATGTTGGCCCTACACTCTGCCCTACACTCAATGTTGGCCCTACACTCAATGTTGGCCCTACACTCAATGTTGGCCCTACACTCAATGTGGGCCCTACACTCAATGTTGGCCCTACACTACCCTTATTGTTGGCCCTACACTCAATGTTGGCCCTACACTCAATGTTGGTCCTGCACTACCCTTAATGTTGGCCCTACACTCAATGTCGGCCCTACACTACCTTTAAAAAAATGACAATACAGCTGGCGCTTGTCATAATTTTTGTTTGATGATATATTCACAACCTGGTTGAGTAGCTAGTGTTAGTGCTGATAGATACACAACATAGTGAAGTAGCTAGTGGCAGTGCTGATAAGATACACAGACTACGGGGGTAGCTAGCATTAGTGCTGATAGATACACAGTCTAGTGGAGTAGCTAGTGTTAGTGTTGAAAGGTGCAGAACCTTGTGGAGTGGCTAAAGATTATTCTGATAGATACACAGCCTAGATTAAAAAAAATACACTCTTGGCGAAAACAATGGATATTGCTTGAGTGGTTTACCGTGCTCTAAAAAAATCAAGTTTTACACACACACAAAAACGGTAACTTATAAGGTTTAATTTTTTTTTTAAACGATGGCACTTAATAGAGAAATATTGGTTTTCTTTTGTAGCTGAAGTATACATATTATTTTGTTCCCAAGGCTGCATGACTTGACCAGACTGCTCCTCCAGGCTTACCAAATCTAGATGATCACAATGTAAGTGAATTTTGCCTCTAAGTGAGGTCATTGATGTCGGATGTTTACGTTAGAGAAATTACATTTCGATAACGTGTGTTTAAATGTATATAATTGTGAAATGTCGTGGTTAAAAAATATGTTTTTTATGTATGAGTTGAAAAGGAATATGTACAATGTAAGAAAAAGCATCTCCATTTATTTGGATCAATGAAGAATCTTAACTTGTATAAATTTACTATTCAATTTATGAAAAAATCCATTTTTTTAATGTCTAAAACAAAGTTACAAACAGATTTTGAGAACTATAAGATTAAACTGGGGGCGCTTAAAATTATTCAATTCAATAAATTATCCCGATCTTTCCCGTGAAACAGCTAATCGTGCTTCAGAGATCGTGGTTAAATTATGAGCTTTACACTAACCGAAATCAAAAATATTTAATTGATAATAACATATGCTTAAATGTATTGATTTAAGATCAAGACTTTGAATGTGAAGTTCCAATGTATTGATATACGTTTCAGGCTTGAATGGAACTTTTCAATGTATTGATTTTTGTTCATGTCTTTGAATGTGACTATCAAATTTATTTGTTTATGGTCGAGACTTTGAATGTGACGTTCCAATGTATTGCTTTATGTTTCAGACATCGAATGTGACATTCAAAGTAATAGAACAACCTTTGTTCATAAATCAATATAGTTGAAACGTCACATTAAATGTCAGCAACATATATCAATCCATAGAATACATTAAACTCAAACGCTAACAGATGAGCAGTTGATCATCAATCATTACGCATTTAGATATTAAGATTTAGACGGTCTTCATGGTTAGTAAGGATTGTTTCATACTGTGGTTCTATAGATAGACGTTCTATCAATCAGTTGAACATATGTCGATAGAGAAGAAGTGTTTTTAAAATCATATATTGGGTAAACCATTTGTTCTTAATCTTTTCAGCTCACAACCCCATCGGAGACATACCATCACCACATTTCTCTGAAATGGTTAATCACCACTAGGAAAAACCATTGAAATGGTTAATCGCCACTAGGGCACTTTCCTCTGAATGGTTAATTACCACTAGGGAACTTTTATTTTAAATTGTCAGAGTCGTTATTTAGGTATCCCAAATAAACATAATTTGTAAAGACGATATATATTAATATTTATATAATAATGATATATAATTAATATTATTATTAATATTTTTTAGGCATTTTTGTATAGCGCTTACCGTACAGCTCTAAGCGCTTTGCAATTATTAAAAATATGTAAACTATTTAAAATGCTAAAGCAAAATAAAAATTAATAACCAGAGACACTAGAATAGTAACTACAATGTGAAAAATGACTATAAAAACAGTAGCTAAAACATTAAAATGGCTATAAAAACAAGTACACTTGGCACGTTTTGGCATATACTTAAATACAGGATCAACCCGAGACAGAAAATGAGGCAGGGCA